AAGAATGATTTTCTGTTTTTGGAAATTGTGCAAGTGTATAACTTTTCAGCCACTTAGAAAACAGCTCTGATGTCATTCATGCTTTCTTATTTGTTCCATATTGTATAGGTAATGTCTTGGCATTGTTAAAACATCATCTCCCAATTAATAATAATAGCAATTTTTATTACTTGTAATTCCTCTTTTGAAAGTGAACATGATATGTTCTTCATTTTTTAATCTTCACGACACAAATGATCTTAGAACACCATTGTTTTGTCTGGCAGACATTTATAATATAAATCTGTTTCACCTGCATTGAAAATGCCATCTAGGCTATAGTTCTGCACAGTTTCTGGTAAATTTTTCGCTATTGTGTGCAACCCTTCCCTCATACTTCTTCACTTTCACCATATATCTTATTGAAAAATATTCCATGCCACTTCTTAAATTTGGCCAGCCACTTGCTGCTTGCTTTGAACTGAATACATCCCAATTGTTGTCCAAATTTTTCAACTTTTTCCCTAAGAAGTTTCCATCAACAAGAACATTCATCTCTATACTGTACAACCATTTTCACTATCTGTATATTCATATTTATGCTTTATTTTTTGTTTAGTCTTATTCTGTTGTTCATTGAAGTGTTCCAAAATCCCCTCCTTGTGTTTCAGAAAAGTAGAGAGAATACTCAATGGAATGTTAAATTCTTTCATAATTCCATATCGTGTTCTTTTACTTTCCTCCATGGTCTTTATCATAGATACTTTTTCTGCTATAGACAAAATCATTAGTTTTCTCTTGTTTGCTATTTCTATCTACTCTAGAATGAAAATAATCAGCAATGAAAATGTCAACATGTAATTCAAACTTTTCATGAAATTTATACAGTATAAATGTTTAGTTTCAAATAATAGGTTTCATATAAACAAACTCATAAATTTCACTGGCCAATAACTCAGTAAGTTGTGAAATTACAGATGTGTTTATTATATTTGAAAATTTTCAAAATCTAGAAAATTTAAAATATAACAATTTTAAAGTGCTAAGATTTGAATGGTCAATTGGCATTTAATAAAAAAAATAAAATTGTTACTTTAAATAGGAAATGTCTTAAATCTCACATTAAAACTAATATGCCTTTTCACAATAAGAAAGAAATAATAATTTTTATATTCAAATTATTTGTGAATTTTTTTATCATCTAATATTTAAAAAATCTGGAGCTGATACATCATATAGATTTACAATTTAATATCTTACTATGATATGAAATTGTAAAACTATTTGATATATTTATTACTGTAAATCAAGGATGCAGATTATGTCTGATCAAATGGACAAGATTTGGGGGAAATTAAAGCAGTCACAAAGATATTTGCAGTAGAAAAATATTATAATATTATAGCAATAGTTGGAAAAAATTATAATAAATAGGAGTAGCATCTTGGCTAAGCCTATAGACATTACTTAGGAAAACTTGCCAAAACACAAGAAAATTGTGTTTTAAAATTAAAATTTTCAATATCTAGATGTCAACTTAAAAAAAAATCCAGCAATGAGCTGCTTAATTAACTTTCCCAACATTTAAAACTGCATGTGGTGCCATCTGTTACGAGATTTTATTTAAAAACTTTTTATGTTTTTATTTGTTATAAAATGGCAAAAAGCTTGATTTTGAGGGTAAGGATGAGTTTTATTCAACAATTGTAAATGCTAATAATGAAAAATGCATCAGTAAGTTCAACCCTACTTGAGATATGACACATGACTCTTCCTTTATCTCCCCACCCTATTGACCTTTAACCATCAATAGCATCAATTCCCCTAATACACAAACCCTGCAAATTTCAGAAATTTTTGACAAAAAGCAAAGGAATTATTAAACTTCAAAAAGGGTGAACAAAATGCATGTGCACATAAACACATAAATGTATGTAACTTTAACAAGATATTAAAAAATATAAATTGAATTTTTATATATTTTGTACATTAACAGTTTTTAATAGCTTACATTATTTATAATGTATATAAGATAAATATTGTTTAGGATTACACAACCTAAAAAATCCATCTTACATGCTTCAAATTACAATAATAATAAATATATTCAAATATTTTAAATCTCTATTCTTGCATACATTTTGTATTCAATTTAGATGATATCCCGAAGAAGACATTTTGTAATGTTGAAAACATTTAAAACAAGCACTTCTTGATAACAAGCACTGAGTTCAGCATTAACACGATTTTCTTATATCGCAAGTACTTTTGACAAGTATTATATCATTGTCCTCAGGCAAAAAATAATAAATTTGAAAAAAAAAACGTGCAGAGTATTCCAAGTAGAAAACAGAAAACTTTTCTTGTCAATTTTTAAATCATAACATTCGGTAATTCTGTTGGTAACGTGCAACTAGCTTTTGCAGGCGTTCGAAAGATCTTAAATCCACTCAACTATCAGCGCATGCGTTGAGGAGCGATCGTACTAATTGTGCGATTCTTGACGCATTTTGTTGTATAAATGCCGGTATAAAGTAACCCATATTTCAGGCAAGTCGAGGGTAGGGACATTTGCATGCGTCCGTGGTCATTGTGAGGAGCGCTTTCCAAATAAATGTAATTTAGAAAACAGCTCTGATGTCATTCATGCTTTCTTATTTGTTCCATATTGTATAGGTAATGTCTTGGCATTGTTAAAACATCATCTCCCAATTAATNCAAGCAAGCATTCTTGTCGTTGCCCCTATATACTTCTCAATTATCCCTGTTATTGGAGTTTCTAGTTGCACTGCGTATACTCCCGATTTTTCTAAAATGTCAACTTTATTACATAGTGCATGCGTAAATTTGGCACCTATAAATCCAGCGTGATGTAGGGAAAAGGAGCTGGATCAATCTATAACATTTTTTGGACATGCAGATACGGAAGTCACTAGAAGGGCCGCAGTTTACAGTGCATCATAAGTCCAACATGATCTCCTACATTACCTCATCGCAAGCTCTAATAAAAGTCGAATTGAAAATTGTAAGAATGGCAGTACATCACGCTGGATTCACAGGTGCCAAATTTACGCATGCACTATGTAGGGTAAAAGATTCCCTTTTCCCATTTACCACACTATACAGCAAAAAAAGAAATGTCTAGAGTACAATCAGCGTTGCCCTATCTAGGAGTACCGTCCATACTTATTAGCCGTATTTTCTGGCGATACAGCTTTAACCTTCCTTTAATTCCCCTACCCAGCCTACGCAGGAGCGTATGCAATGATTGGGATAAAGTTGACATTTTAGAAAAATCGGGAGTATACGCAGTGCAACCTAGAAACTCCAATAACAGGGATAATTGAGAAGTATATAGGGGCAACGACAAGAATGCTTGCTTGTCGTATCACAGAACACCATAGGCATTGTTAAAACATCATCTCCCAATTAATAATAATAGCAATTTTTATTACTTGTAATTCCTCTTTTGAAAGTGAACATGATATGTTCTTCATTTTTTAATCTTCACGACACAAATGATCTTAGAACACCATTGTTTTGTCTGGCAGACATTTATAATATAAATCTGTTTCACCTGCATTGAAAATGCCATCTAGGCTATAGTTCTGCACAGTTTCTGGTAAATTTTTCGCTATTGTGTGCAACCCTTCCCTCATACTTCTTCACTTTCACCATATATCTTATTGAAAAATATTCCATGCCACTTCTTAAATTTGGCCAGCCACTTGCTGCTTGCTTTGAACTGAATACATCCCAATTGTTGTCCAAATTTTTCAACTTTTTCCCTAAGAAGTTTCCATCAACAAGAACATTCATCTCTATACTGTACAACCATTTTCACTATCTGTATATTCATATTTATGCTTTATTTTTTGTTTAGTCTTATTCTGTTGTTCATTGAAGTGTTCCAAAATCCCCTCCTTGTGTTTCAGAAAAGTAGAGAGAATACTCAATGGAATGTTAAATTCTTTCATAATTCCATATCGTGTTCTTTTACTTTCCTCCATGGTCTTTATCATAGATACTTTTTCTGCTATAGACAAAATCATTAGTTTTCTCTTGTTTGATATTTCTATCTACTCTAGAATGAAAATAATCAGCAATGAAAATGTCAACATGTAATTCAAACTTTTCATGAAATTTATACAGTATAAATGTTTAGTTTCAAATAATAGGTTTCATATAAACAAACTCATAAATTTCACTGGCCAATAACTCAGTAAGTTGTGAAATTACAGATGTGTTTATTATATTTGAAAATTTTCAAAATCTAGAAAATTTAAAATATAACAATTTTAAAGTGCTAAGATTTGAATGGTCAATTGGCATTTAATAAAAAAAATAAAATTGTTACTTTAAATAGGAAATGTCTTAAATCTCACATTAAAACTAATATGCCTTTTCACAATAAGAAAGAAATAATAATTTTTATATTCAAATTATTTGTGAATTTTTTTANATGGAGAGATTGAGGAGTCACATGATATATCTTGTGAGGGGTCAGACTTAACGAAGATTTTACTTGTTGTTAGCATTTACAGTGTTTTATGAAACTCATCTTTACCCTCAAAATTAAGTCTTTTGCTATTTTATAATAATTAAAAATATATAAATTTTTTATAACAAAATCTTCTAGTACAGTAGATGGTGCCACATACAATTTTAGTTATTTATTTTCATTAGTAATACAAATGTTATTTTTAAAATAAAATCTCAAAACCCAATAAAGTTATACAATCCGTTGCTAGACTTTTTTTTATTAATCTGACAAAATAATATAACATTATATGATTTTTTTTTCTAATTTTTGGTTTAAAATTCAATAACCTTGCATTAACGTTACAATAAATTTATTAAAACAAATAACTTAACTTCATATTGAACAAAACATCAGTATTATTTTTTTAAATTAAAAACAATCAACAAATTATAATAATTTATACACATCCAAATAACAACATCCAAATAACAAGTTAAATAAGCAGAGAATATAAATAGAAATAATTCAAAAGTATTACCATTTCTGCTCACATCCAAATCAATTAAATTGGATAAATGAGCAATTTCAGGTGGTAAACGAACGATTTCATTGTCACTGAGACTTAATCGTCGCAGTTTAACAAGTCGAAATAATCCCTAAATAAACAAAAATATATAATTAATATATCATGATAACAGAAATTTATTTTCATACAAATATGAAATAAAATTTGTAATAATTCAGTATCAAAATATAACCTATTTGTTCATTATTTTATAGGAAGAAAAAATAGATTAAATGAAATACAAATATTGAAATAATATGTAATAATAAAAAATAGAAACACTAATATATAAATATATAATTTAGAAGCATAAATTATGAGAAAAAGAGCACTCACACTGAATGACAAATAACTCCTACTTTAAACCTATTGTCCTAGATATTTAGAAGCCTTAGAAATTTTTAAAGCAAACATATATAGCAGGTGTATCAATCAGGAGGAGGAACTGTTTCTATTGGCAGCTTGGAAGGCCCTATAAAAACCTGAGCTATAGTTTGTTGTTGTAGGATCTCTCGCACATACCCATACTGAAGCATGGCATTTTATGCTGTTTTCATACCGTTAAAGCAGGCACTCCAGCATGTTCATTTTTTTTTTTAATTGATTGAAAACATAAAATAGAAATTTCAATGTCCATTCAAATTTTTATTTTATGTTTCTGTGATTGTGTTCTATCAAAGAAACAACATGATTCACTTGATTGCCACGTAACACAATCACAGAAACAACATGATTCACTTGATTGCCACGTAACACAATCACAGAAATAACATGATTCACTTGATCACATTCCGTGTCGGTGATGTATTATGCACAAACGCTCGCGTTTTGTGTTGGTGATGTATTATACATCACCGACACAAAACGCGAGCCGATCGTTAAAAATATCACCATCATTGAATATATAACCAACGATTTCAAACATTATATAAAGAAATTGCAACAAAAATGAACACCAGTGTAACGTACTGAAGATCCCCTAATATATATCAATTATTACGTAATGCAAAGGACAAACAGGACAATCTTAGGGCTCCAGGGGTATATAGTATTCCTGTAAGGGATAATAGATTTCGGAGAAAAATGGTGTACATCAGCTCCATGAAGCGTTCTATCCAGCAGAGAATTAAGGAGCACAAATATGACATAGACCATGCTCGTTACACCACCGCCCTGTCAACCTATGCCACAGACCTAGATATTCATGCAGATCTATCCAACACCAGATTGATAAATAGAGCCTTTAATACTGACCACATCAGAGTCCTTGAAGTCCTGGAGATATACAGAGCTGGCCGGGAAGGGAGATGTATTAACACCAAAGATGGCAATGCGCTTTCCTATGAGTGGCGATACGTATGCAAAGAACAAGGAAACGATAATGATACATAACACGTTCATATGTTCGAATATAATTTTTTAAAAATCATTCATTCTAAGATTGGAATCCAATTGTTCTTATAACCTGATGCAGACCTCGACTGAGGCCGAAAACATTTGTTTTACGAATGGTTAAGAAGTACCGGACAATAAAGGTAAACGAGTGAGTACAAGATTAGTCAAAATACCAGTATTCAGAATAGAAGAGTTGGTAAATATGTTAGACTCGTCAAGGAAATGTACAAGGGAGCAGAGACCCAAGTTAAAAGTAGTGTGGGCACTACAGTAGGATTCTTCCTTAATGTTGTTTTGCATCAGGGCTCTTAGCCCTTATTTGTTTGACCTGATAATGGACGTGTTGGTGTGTGATGTGAAGTGTGAGGCTCCGTGCAGTATGCTGTTTGCAGATGATATTGTGCTGTGTGAACTTTCCCAAACCAAGGCTGAGAAAAAACTGCAAGATTGGAGGAAAGTTTGGAAGAAAGGGGCATAAAGATTAGCAGAACTAAAACAGCTTATATGACTCTGAATGGTAGAGATGAGTGTAATATTAAAATCCAAAATGTGCCACTCCCTTTTATTCCAAGTTTAAATATCTTGGGACATTTGTCGAGATGGGAGGAGGATTGAGGAGCATAGAATTCAATGTGAATGGATGAACTGGAGAAAGCTGAGCGGTGTGTTATGCGACAAGAAAGTTAGCTGCAATCTGAAAGGAAAATTCTATAAATCAGTTGTAGACCTGCAATGTTATACGGAGCTGAGACATAGGCAATAACAAGAGCCCAAGAAAGAAAGATGGCTGAGATAAGAATGTTGAGATGGACGTGTGAAGAGTGTCAAGGAAGGATAGAATATTTTATTAGAGGTTCTGTTAAGGTAGGCTTCTTGAACAAAAAGATGCAAGAATGTAAGTTGAGGTGGTTTGGCCACGTAGAGTGAAGAAGTGACAATTATGTTGGAAAGAAGATTGGAAAACTTGTAGTAAAAAGAAAGAGGAAAAGAAGAAGACCAAAGATGCATTGGAAAGATAAGGTGGAAGAAGACTTGAACCAAAGGGGACTTAAGAGAGAAGAAGCCCTTGATAGAGAGAAATGGAAAAAACATATTAGAGAAGGAAACACCCGATCCCATATAAACGTGGGAAAAGGTGAGAAAAAGAAGATATAGCATAAATTATTTTATAAAGTCAGAATTTTTAATAAAATATTAATGTATGGTATGTTCAGAATTAATGCATTCCATGTTCAGAAGATACACTGAGAATAGTTGACTGATTTATTATGGAAATTTTTTAAGATATGTAGGTAAATACGTTTAATTGATGAGTACTTTTGACAGTATATAACAGTCTTCTTCATGTAATATGGAGGATAGAACATTATAAACCTAGAGAAAGAACACATTTTCAAATTACTCTTCATGCACAGTCATGGAACATAAAAATTACACACATAATAATACAAAATTATAAGCTATTACAAAATAAATAGGATATAAGATAGCTATGGCTAATATGTTATATGATGTTCTGCAAGATAGATACAGAGCATTCTGGCAGTGACACGTATTTACCTGTAATGCCAATAGACAGTTTATAGTTTTATCTTTTATTATTAATAAGTGGTGTCTCTTGTTGTCTTAAGGTTTGTTTAAAGTTTCTAAAAGTTTTAGCTTTTAGCTGAAATATTAGTATGTATTTTAATTTTAAATATTAATTTCAAGTGTAAAAGTTTTATTTATTCTTTAAGAAATCTTAAAAGAATTTCTGGAATTTTACAAACATAATAGAATTTGAAAATTATTATTCTAAGCTGTAAAGTAAATATTCTAGAACATAATTTAAATAGTTTAATTCCTTTTAGTTCAAAAGCTGGCTGTTCTATTTTATATAAGCTGCTCCTAAAGTTTAAAATCATTCTTAACTAAAGATGGCTGAAAATGAACCAGAAGATTTTAAAAATAGAGATTAAATTTGATAATCTTAAAAAGCAGTAAGGCAATATTTTCTTTATCATTATCTGCATTACATTTTTCAAACTTCAGAATATAATAATCTATTCTATCATGAAATTAAAATAAATTTAAAATTCCTGAACTGAAAACATGGCTAGTAAGGCAGAGGTTTCAGACTAAAGACGATCTTCAAAACAATGTTAGGGCACATCTCAAGTCATTGGTGGCAACATTGTATGACAAGAGGATGGAAAAGCTCATCCACAGAAATGACAAATTCCTCAATCTTTACAGTAATTATGTCGAAAAGTAACCATGTTTGCACCTAACTTTTGGTAATAAATTCATTTTGTTATTTACATTTGTCTTTGTTTTATGGACCATTGGAGCTTGGAAAAAACTGCCATCATACATTTTCACATTAACTTAAGCCAGGTTAGCATAAATTGCAGTTATTCAATTTACTAGTATAATAATTTGTAATCAAATATCATATACACTTGAATTAAACAGCTTTACTTTTCAATAAAAAATGGCTGAGGATATTTATACAATAAAATATGTATGAAAAACTAAAATGTCTTCATTTTTTCATCTTGTCTTTCATTTTACTTTTGCTACAAATAATAAATTAGCTATCCTAAATTTGATGTTCATTGAACTAGTTATAAGTAGTTCAATAGACATCAAATCCAGGATAGTCAATTTCTATTTAAAGTGATGTATTTTGCAGTCTGGCCAAGATAAGAATGGCTGCCAAAGATATAAAAAATTCATGTGATAATTTAGGTTATCATAAAGGTATCGTCAAATGTAAAGCATGTTGTGATTCCATTACTAAGTACTAAACTGAACTAAATGAAGATATTTGTTTCAAATATCTTACCTCAATTCAAAATGAATTAGGAGAAGAAACATTTAAAGAATTCAGCTTTAATGAAAATGTTAATAGAACATTAACACAGTTTATTTTTATCATTTTCTGCTTTTATATATTTACTATAGATGCATGGTCAAAGCTAGGATCAAAATTAGCATATATTACTGTTTACATTCAATATATTTTACATATTATGACAATAGTAAAAATGTTCATATATTTTCTTTATAAATTCTGTTATAGAAATTTTTTCTGAACATTAATTTAAATATTTCTTTTGAAAATATCTGAAATTAATTAAAGTGAAAATCAGATTTTTTAAAACATAGTATATCTGCACAGATAAGACGACCTTCAGATAAGACAAGATATAAATTTTTGTCGAAGTTTTATAGTTTTAGCATATATCTGTCCTATAAGGCAACCCTCAAACTATCAACAGCCTATGAATTTAGTTTAGATCATTGATCATCATCTGGATAATAACACTGTATAGCACATACAAAATTATGTCCTATTTGTAATTTTTTGAATAAACAAATTTTATTTTCTTGCATCTGGCAGCACTGCCTTGTGATTGTTGCAAACAATCACACTGATTTGGGCATTTGGGTAATGACCTTGACTATTCACAAAAATGTCATATGGGCTATTCTCTTTTGTGGACATGTAAGGAACTAAGTCTGAGCTTTATTTTTATTTTACTTTTATTTTGCTTTTATTATATTTTTGTTTGGGGCTTATGTTTATTTAGGACGAAGGTTTCCTTACCCATCACCCCAGAACGGTCAAAACAAGAAGATAAGGGATAAACCAACTTACCGACGACGAAAATACAGCGCCATAGCTAGAATTCGCACTCACGTGCATGCCCA